CCCCGAGTAAGACTGGTCTTCTAGGCAGAGCAGGTGGGGAGGTTGGAGCTGGAGGGGAGGGTCCTTGCTGGGGCGTCTTCCTCAAATGCAGATGTGAGGAGGGAAGTCCAGGAAGAAGCAGCTACAGCTGCCCTGACCCTCGTCATTCCTTCCCCAGGTCTCCTCCCAGCGGCACCTGGGGCAGTTGGGACTCGGTGCCTGGAGGAGGTGTGAGGGGTCTGGGCCTAGGTGGTCAGAGGGTCGTGTCCTGAGAAGCACCCATCTGGGCCAAGTAGAGGTGATGTGAGGGCACCTGCATGCAAACAGGCCAGTCAGGGCTGGCTCCAAGTAAAGGGCAGGAAAGGGAGCTGCAGCCTGGCTGGAGACTGCCCGGGGCCCAGAGCCCCTGCCTCTTGCTGGGCTGGACACAGGGCTGGGCAGCCTCTGCCCGAGGCAGTTCACAGCCGGAGTGGTGTGTGCCGCCCTCCTCAGAAAGCTGCTGCTAATGGTCACTTGTGGTCTTAAGTCTCGTCAGTTCCTGAAAGCAGGAATTACAGGCTATGAAGTTATTTCCCCCAAGAAAGTCGACATGTGACGGACCCAGGGTCAGACCCTGGCTTTTCTTGTTATTTTCCTCTTCCTCCTCTTCTTCTTCTTTTTCCTCTTCTTCGGTTCTCACTCTGTTGCCCAGGCTGTGCAGTGATGCAGTCATGGCTCACTGTAGCTTCTACCTCTTGGGCTCAATTGATCCTCCCACCTCAGCCTCCCAAGTAACTGGGCCACAGGTGTGCACCACCACACCCAGCTGATTAAAATGTAAAAGAAAAATAATTTTGCCTGGGCAAGGTGGCTCATGCCTGTAATCCTGGCACTTTGGGAGGCAAAGGCAGGTAATCACGAGGTCAGGAGTTCGAGACCAGCCTGGCCAACGTGGTGAAACCCTGTCTCTCCTAAAATACAAAAAAGTAGCCGGGTGTGGTTGCATGCGCCTGTAGTCCCAGCTACTTGGGAGGCTGAGGCAGGAGAATCGCTTGAACCCCAGAGGTACAGGGTGCACTGATCGGTAGATCATGCCCCACTTGCATCTCAAGTCTGGGCAACAGAGCAAAGAATCTGTCTCAAAAAAAAAAAATTTTGTAGAGACAGGTTGTTACTGGTTCGTCGGCTGGTCTTGAACTCCTGGGCTCAAGTGACCCTCCTGCCTTGGCCTCCCAAAGTGTCGGGGTTATAGGTGTGGCCACCATGCCCCATCCCTGCCTTGCTTTTTCAATCACATGGAAATGTGAAGGGTCGAGGAGCCAAAACTTTAGGGAAGGAATCATTGCAATGGATCTGCAGCGATTATAAGAGAACTTTCAACTACTCTGCACTAGGGGAACCATGGACTCAAAAAATGTTTTAAATTATTTATGAGGAGGTTCCAATGTAGACAAAAGGAAAATAAATATGATGACATGCATATATCCATTGCCAAATTTACATTTATTAAGCATTGTTGGTGGATACTTATCGTCAGACCTTTCAATAAGAAAACGTGTTACAGAGCCAGCCCAAAGTCCACCTCCTCACATCTCCCCACCTCTCTCCCCAGAGATGGCTCCAGAATTGCTGTGTGGCTTTGCACCTTTAACAGTTATTAGTTATCAGCACAATATTCATATTATTGCTGTATGTGTTTAATATTCACCTGGGTACTGGTACATAACATTTGCAGCTTTTTTTTTTTTTCACTCAACATATGATGACATTCCATGGGAAACTCCAATACGGGAAGGCTAGGCACTTGCCCAAGGCAGCTGTGACCTCTGTCAGAAAGACAGAGACTGTCCAACTTCAGAAGTAGACCCTGCATGTCTGGATTCTGTTCTGTAAATTCCCTTCATACTCAGAAGCATGCAGTAAACAAACCTGGAGTAATTATCAACGCAAAGATTACCCTCCCAGAAGAAATTTCCAAAACACTTTCATTATCTTCTACTCATTACATGAAGAGAACTGAATAAGCATCATCAACTAAGATAATGGATGCCAAAACATCCTGTAAATAACCTCATAGAGCTTAGCTCTCACTAAGTTTTTGGAGAATTTTCCAGTAATGCAAAGGACCCAGGGAAACTTAAGCACTGCTTAGGATGCTCCATAAACATCTTCTGGCTGGGTAGGGGAGTGGATGGATGTGGGTGGACAGACAGACGGATGGATGGATGGATGGATGGATGGATGGATGGATGGTTGGATGGATAGGTGGGTGGATGGATGGATGGGTCAATGGATGGGTGGATGGGTGGATGGTTGGATGGATAGATGGGTGGATGGGTGGGTGGTTGGATGGATGGATGGGTGGTTGGATAGATGGATGGATGGGTGGGTGGGTGGGTGGGTGGGTGGATGGATGGATGGGAGGGTGGATAAATGGGTGGATGGGTGGATGGGAGGGTGAATGGGTGGGTGAGTGTATGGGAGGGTGGATGGATGGGTGGTTGGATGGATGGGTGGGTGGGTGAATGGGAGGGTAGATGGCTGGCTGGCTGGGTGGGTGGGTGGATGGTTGGGTGGGTGCATGGTTGATGGATGGATAGAGGGTGGATGGATGGATGGAGGGGTGGATAGATGGAGGGGTGGATGGATGTGAAGATGAGTAGATGGTAAAAGGGTGATTGAATAGATGGGTGGATGATGGGTGGGTGTCTAACTGGCCATGAACCAATCCCTTAAATTTGTCCCATTCATATCCTGGCAGAGAAGCTCCATGAAGAAATTGACAGGGTGATTGGGCCAAGCCGAATCCCCGCCATCAAGGATAGGCAAGAGATGCCCTACATGGATGCTGTGGTGCATGAGATTCAGCGGTTCATCACCCTCGTGCCCTCCAACCTGCCCCATGAAGCAACCCGAGACACCATTTTCAGAGGATACATCATCCCCAAGGTCCAGCGTGAGCCTGGAGCACACAGCATGAACGCCATCCTATCAGCTAATCGCCTTCATGCCAGGGAGCAGGATGGGGGCCCCAAGACCCTTCCCTTTGGCAGGGGTCACCGAGTGGAGAGGCTGCCCCCCAACTCGCACCCTGTGGGGTGCTGCTTCCCCAGGAGTGCTCAGATTGGCCTGGTGACCAGAGAGGTGGAGGAAATCTGGAAAATGCCTCAGCAGTTAATGTCTGGGACTGTAGTGAATTCTAATGCCAGGAAAAATCACAACCAGTTCTGGGGTTAATCCTGTGAGATTAGGGCTTTCATCTTCATTTAGACCTGACCCCTGACTGCTTTCTATCTAATCCTTCACTAAGCAACTCCCTCAGTTGGAAATATACTATCCTCTATAGCATAACATTCAAAACAGCATTCGTCCCTGGGGGTTTCTAGGTGAAAGCCCACATTTTGTTAACATGACTCACTGAGACAAGTCTTTGTTTCTTACAGGGCACGGTCATAGTGCCAACTCTGGACTCTGTTTTGTATGACAACCAAGAATTTCCTGATCCAGAAAAGTTTAAGCCAGAACACTTCCTGGATGAAAGTGGGAAGTTCAAGTACAGTGACTATTTCAAGCCATTTTCCGCAGGTGAGAACGATCAGAGGCAGCACCTTCCCTAGAGGAGCAGCCCACACTCCTCATGTCCACTCCACGTGTGCTCTGCCCTCGTCCCAGGCACCCACTGACACCCCAAACCTCACTGTGTGTCCTGTTTCTATTGACAACATGACCCACATGTACTCTTCCCTGTTCAGCAGGGAACATCTTTCAGCAGCAATCCTGGGAATGAAGTGTTGTAGGTGGATTTTTTCCCCAAAGACTAGGTATTTTACATCATTCATTGCTAAATTCTGTTTCTATTTTAACAAGACTTAGTGAAAAGCTCTCAAAGCCATATTATCCAATTCTCCCTAATTGTAAACCAGAGCTACTAAACAAAACCTAAGCTTTGGTTACCTAGAATCATCACAGGAAGCATCAAAGCCTTCCTGGCATGTGACTCAGTGACTCTCTTTGAGGCACTTGTCCTCCTTCCCAGGGCCTCATCTTAGGGATTGTTGTGGGAAGATCACACAACCAACTCCATACTTTTCACACCCAATGCTGGAGCCCCAGCTTCTAACAGGGCCCTACTTCCCTCCTGTAGGCATCACTGGTGAGCACTGGGGGTGGCTTCTTTACTGGGCAGACACTGTCTTCCCAACTTAACACCGGTTTTTGTAGTTGAGCTCTGGATAATTGAGGTTGATGAAGGCTGGTCCCTGAATTAGTCAGTGTCGCTGGTATTCTTCCACTCAAGTACATTTTGTGCTGCTTTTAATAGACAGAGAGGGGTGAGTCCTGCCTTGTGATGGCCATTTGCCCACAGCCTCCTCCCCGCTTCCCCTAGTCTCACTGTTGACAGCGTCGTGTCTCTGAAACTCCCTCAGTGTCTCATCAATACCATTGTTACTTCTAGGAAAACGAGTGTGTGCTGGAGAAGGCTTGGCTCGCATGGAGTTGTTTCTATTGTTGTCTGCCATTTTGCAGCATTTTAATTTGAAGCCTCTCGTTGACCCAAAGGATATCGACATCAGTCCTGTAAATATTGGGTTTGGGTGTATCCCACCACGTTTCAAACTCTGTGTCATTCCCCGTTCATGAGTGTGAGGAGGACCCCCAGAATCCCCTGCTTTCAAACAAGTTTTCAAATGGTTTTAGGTCTGGCTTCCTCAAACCGATTCCTTTCTTTGCATATGAATATTTGAAAATAAATATTTTCCCAGAATATAAATAAATCATCACATGATTATTTTAACTACACGTGAAGTCATGGAATACCTTAATTGTTGAAGTGATTCTCACAGAGAGAGGTTTTTTTTTCCCCTTGAGAGTTTCGCTCTTGTTGACCAGGATGAAGTACAGTGGTGCTATCTTGGCTCACCGTAACCTCTGCGTCCTGGGTTCAAGTGATTCTCCTGCCTCAGCCTCCCGAATAGCTGGGATTACAGGCACCCACCACCATGCCAGCTGATTTTTTGTATTTTTAGTAGAGACAGGGTTTCACCATGTTGGTCAGGCTGGTCTTGAACCCCTGACCTCAGGTGATCTACCTACCTCAGTCTCCCGAAGTGCTGGGATTACAGGTGTGAGCCACTGTGCCCAGCCAGAGAAAGGTTTTAAATATATGTTTACTTTAATATTAAGTTGTAACATAACTTTCATATTATTGAAAAGCTCTTCAATCTAGGATCACATCACTTCAGTTTCAGAAACATATTGAGGTGGGGAATTTGTATTAGGTTTCTCTAAAGGGACAGAAACAATAAGATAGATGTATATACGAAGGGGAGTTTATTAGGAGAATTGACTCACACGATCACAAGGTGAAGTCCCACAATAGGCTGTCTGCAAGTTGAGAAGCAGAGAAGCCAGTTCGAGTCCCAAAACCCCAACAGTAATCCTTTCCTAACGTCAGGATGCATATTGACCTGTGTGTGACATTTGCCGCGCAGAGCGTGCACTGCTGAGGAGAATGGTGCCCAAGAAGGACACTGTTGACCCAAAATATTCCAAATAAACCATGATTACAGCCACAAATTCAGGTTTGGAGAAAGTTGTTGGACAATTCACTTTATAGGATAAGTTAATAAATAAGATTTTCAAACCCAATTGCACTATCATCCTCACGATTCTGGAAAGGTTGAACGGACAAATGGTATCTTGAAGCTAAAATTAGTTAAACTAACAGAGTCAAGTGGTTTATTTTGGTCAAAAGTTTTTACCACTAGCCTTAATGGTAATTAGATTAACCTCTATGGGAAAACACAAACTAACCCCTTATGAAATAATTACTGTAGCATCTATTCCTTTGATAATACAACATTGTGTATCCCCTGTACTTGTTAGCTCTGATGTGACTCAATAATGCAAGGCCTTGATGCATTTTGCAAATGTACACGTCCACCACTTGAAGTAGGCTTTCTATGAACCACCAATTGATAATGTTCAGATCTTCCATCACCTGGAACCTAAAGATTGGGTCTTTTGGAGATGACACTAGAGAAAAACTGCGCTTGAGTCTTACTGAAAAAACCATACCAGGGTCTTCTTACTACTCAACACTGCAGTAAAGCTTCAGTGTCTTGAGCCTTGGGTTCATGTCTCTGGACTAAAGAGAGCTCCCTTGGTTTCTTGGACTTATCAACCTATAGGTGACTTAAAATTGAGAATATCCAAGGGAAATCTTTCTTAGAAACAGATAGCATCACGAAGTAGACAGCTTTCCCAAGATGGTGCACCAAGACTTCATTTGACTCTTTTTCATTGACTAAGATTTGTTTTTGTTTTGCATTAATGTAAAGATGTTCAAGCTTCCTCTTTTGTTAGAAACTTTCACTACTCAAACCAAACATCCTTTAAGGTCTACTGTGCAGAGTATAGCCACTCTCACTAACTGAAACAATTGCTGACTATGTCAACTAGATATATGGGAAGAATCCAAAGTAATATTAGAACCTCATCCCATACACATTTGGGTGAGCAATTCAGGAAGCTGACTTTATCAAGAGGTTTGGTATCCTTCCCTTGGCAGATTGGTTGATTTTTTTTTCAGTGTATAAATATTATCATTCTATATTTGTTTCTTGATTGTAAAAACATTTGGAGAGCACTGATTATTATAATCAGAGCTAGGAAGATTATCAAATAATGTTCCTGCTGTTATTGTTGTTTTTTATTCTTTATTTTTTAAATTTTTTCTTCTCCATAGGTTCTTGGGGAACAGGTAGTAGGTATCTGGCTACATAAGTAAGTTCTTTAGTGGTGATTAAAAAAAAACTTGCTCATGCATGTTTATAGCAGCACATTCACAACTGCAAAAATGTGGAACCAACCCAAATGCCCATGATTGAACGAGTGGATAAAGAAACTGTAGTATATATATATGATGGACTACTACTCAGCCATAAAAAATAATGAGTTAATGGCATTCACAGCAACCTGGATGGGATTGGAGACTATTATTCTAAATGAAGTAACTCAGGAATGGAAAATCAAACATTGTATGTTCTCACTCATGAGTAGGAGCTAAGCTATGAGAATGCAAAGGCATAAGAATGGACTTTGGGGACATACCATGGACTTTGGGAACTCACAGGAAAGGGTGGGAAGGGGGTGAGGCATAAAAGACTGCAAATTGAGTTCAGCGTATACTGCTTAGGAGATGGGTGTACCAAAAATCTCACAAATCACCACTAAAGATTGGTTGATATTTATGATCAACTAGTTTGACATTGGGAAGAAGCGACAGAACCAAAGGGATAGACTATAATTACTACTGGTTTTCTTTCTCTCTCCTCTCCTCTCCTTTCCTCTTTCTTTGACGGAGTCTTGCTCTGTCACCAAGCTGGAGTGCAGTGGCGAGATCTCGGCTCACTGCAACCTCCACTTCCCAGATTCAAGCGATTCTCCTGCCTCAGCCTCTCGAGCAGCTGGGACTACAGGCAAGTGCCACCATGTCCGGCTAATTTTTGTATTTTTAGTAGAGACAGGGTTTTACCATGTTGGCCAGGATGGTCTTCATCTCTTGACCTCGTGATCTGTCCACCTTAGCCTCCCAAAGTGTTGGGATTACAGGTGTGAGCCACCACGCCTGGCCTACTACTGGTTTTCTTAAAGTATTCTTTTGCTCTTAATGAAACTGCAAAAGGTTTTCATTTTTAATTCTGAAATCTGTGTCTTCTTGAAACATCTCAGATTAATATCCCAGGAGTTCAACCTTTGTGGTACCTTACTGAATTCCATTTTGCAGGCCATACTTATTGCCTTCTGTTCTTTATCCCTTTGAAAAGGTATGTTTTTTCCCTTGACTATGATGATAACTGTCTCCTTCCATCATTTTGTCAACTCCTGTAACTTTTTCTCTGGTTATAATTCTACTGTTATGACCTGACACTGAAATGTTTATTTTCAAGGTCTAGAAAAAGCATGTTTTCCTACAGTATAACTTGATTTTGTACTCTTGGCTTTTCTTGGTATGTCTGAATTGTTCAATGTAATCAGGAAACTTACCATGCTGTTATTAAGAGCCATGTATTCCCCAATCAAGGAACTAGTTTTCTTGTTTACATTCCTCTACAATATGGTGTACACTCATCACAATGGACACACTCTTCCTGTGTCTGGTTAAAGTACCCTTTTCATCAGGTTTGACTTCCAGTTTATCTAAATGGGCCTTTAACATTTGTATTTCTAGCAGGAACCTTAAAACTTTCAGTCTGTACTTACCTATTACCCAGTTTCAAAGCCATTTCCACATGTTTAGATATTGTCACAGCAGGACCACATTCCTGGTAACACAATTTGTCTTAGTCTACTTGAGACACTATAACAAACTATCATAGACTGGATGGCTTTAACAACAGAAATGTACTTCTCACAGTTCTGGAATCTGAAAAGTCCAAGATCAGGAGCTGGCTGATTTGGTTCCTAGTGAGGGCTCTCTTCCTCGTTTGCAGATGGTTGCATTCCTATCATGTCCTAAGATTGCACTTCCTTGGTTCATGCATGTGGGTAAGGTCGGGAGAGGTGGGAAAGGGAAGATTTTCCTGCTTTTATAAGGCCACTGATATCATGAGGGTCCCACCCTTGTGACTTAATCTAATCCCAATCACCTTCCAAAGACCATACCTGGAAATATTACCACACTAGGGGTTAGGGCGTCAACATATGCATTTGAGGAGCGACATAAATATTCAGTCCTTAACACAAAGGGGGTGGTTGTGGTGGCCACGGTCAAATACTCAGGACAGGAATTCATGGTGGAAAGCTGCAGTAGGGAAATAGGAGAGGCACTGGGAAGTGGGCTATCCTCTTCTCAAGGACAATTGCCTCCTTGTGAATGCAATAATCTTCATTAAATGTTAAAAAAGGGATGGGTAGTAGTAACCTCTACCAGGTTTCCTTTTAGGTCTGGGAGTGTGGGGTGTAGGTTGTGGCAGAGAGCCAAGCCAGGATCATGACACAGTTGTGTAATTTGAAGGTGTCTTACTTAGTCTGTTTAGTGTTGCTATAAAGGAATACCTGAGGCTGGGCAATTTATAAAAACAAAAAAGTTTATTTGGCTCATGGTTCTTTAGGCTACACAAGAAGCATGGCACTAGCATCTGTTTCTCATGAGGGCTTCAGGCTGCTTCCACATATAGTGGAAGATGAAGGGGGATCTGCTGTGTGCAGAGATCACATGGCAAGAGAGGAAGCAACAGAAGGGGAGGGAGGTGCCAGGTTTTGTTTTCTTTTAACAAGAAGTTCTTATGAGAACTAATGAGTGAGAACTCACCCATCCCAAGGGAGGACATTAATCTATTCATGAGGGATCTGTCCCCATGGTCCAAACACCTCTCATTAAGTTCCATCTCCAACACTGGGAATGAAATTTCAACATGAGATTTGAAGAGGTCAAACAAACCAAAGTACAGCAGAAGAGAATACTGGGCCTGGAAGTCTGACTGGCAAATATACTTTAAGTCAAGGAGCTATGTGCGTGCACAGGTGGCAAAGGCAATGTTGACATCTGCAATACTGTCATAATGAACCAAGGTGCAGTAACCCAACTGGGAAAGTTAGAGCCCCAATTAAGGGTGGGGCAAGCAAACAGTTTTTTACATTGCAGCATTTTGCCCCAAATGGGTGATGTTCTATTGCAAATAGGTTTTAAATCATATGGCCTGATTTGGGTGTGTGTTGTTAATAGACTGTGAGGTTGTCTGTCAATTAAAACACTGGCCTGTGGGCAGGCCCTGTGGCTCAGTTGTTGGTTTGTT